TTTCAAATTTGTACGTGCTGGGCGGTGCACACCGAGTCCCCGAAGGTCGGCCCTTATGCACATGAAGCTGGCATTCTTGCACTAGTTGGGTTTGCAGATTGGCTTCGTGGTAGCCTGAAAACAAGCCCGGGCCAAGCAAGACCTACCATGCTCACTTGCTATAATCTATACATGCCTATACGCTTTAACTCGCAGAGGCATATCTTAGCACATGGAACACCCAAACCCGCCTAGACTTGCTATGACGACTCCGAGGCATCAAGGCAGAAGTGGACGGCCTCCTTTTGCATGGTGAGCCTTGTGAGCCGCGCGAGCCCGGTGAGCCCACTGAGCCGCCACAGTTGGCAGGGCATCTTGGCCGTCGTTCTGCCGTGCAAGCAACTCCCATTGTCCTGCTATTGTGCAAATCACGACTTCAGCAGATCATTGCAACTCACTGGGTTTCATTTACCATCGGTGAGGGGCGCCTGTGCGTGACGAGAGTAGTTTTGAAATATGTAGAGTCCGTGGGATATACATCCGCAAAGTCTTCAGCTCATTCTGTTGCAAAGCTGCGTACGGCGAGAGGATGTGTGGAGACATGTGCAGGTTTCAGGGTGGCGCGATTACAGCCAAGGCTCATTGAGTGCAAAGCTGGGGCGGCAATCTACGGAGATCTACAAAAGCTGGATGCATTGCTGGAGTTCTTCGTCGCTTGGCCCAGCCGTCACGCACCATGTGGTCGTCAGGCTTGAGTAGCGCACAGCAACTGCAATTCTGCCAAGGACTCGGCCGAGGAGGGAATGGCTTATTTCGAGCTAGCGAAGCCAACAAAGGGAGTACCGTCAGTGGCTAAGACCGAGCAAAGTCGAATCACGCTCCTGTGGCCCTCTTTTGCTTATAGCTGGGTTGTCGTGTGTTGCCGTTCTTGGCTTCTGAGGCGAAAGTTCGCCGTGCAACTTCCGCCAGACGGTGCACGTTCGGTCAAGGTCTGCTTATGGCTTTGCATGGCGTGTGTGTTTGGTCACACTGTATACGCAGGTGAAGTATTTCTTGGGAAGTCTTCCTGACGACGACGCAGGCCAGGCTGGTTTTCTCAGCGAGAATCTGCGCGAGGCAGCTTTTCTGGTTTGCGTTTGGTTGCGTGGGTCACGCTTTGCGAAATTCAGAATTTTGTCTGCTGTATTGAGAATGTCCTCAAGGTATTTCTGGGTACTAGTAGTGGTGTTCGTGGTGGCGTCTTGGGAGACATTTTTGTGCCCTAGATGTGGCCTCTCGGTCAACGCCTCATTAAGCTGCACCTGTCGCAGCTCGTCACCGTTGGATGGCCTGGCAAGGTCAATGTCATGTCTGCAGGTGCGAGGTGTGCTTTTGCACTGCGTGTGCTTCCTGCATGCTACCCGTAGTCTTTCCTAGTTTGTCTTGCGGCTTTTCCATTGCATATGAGCGTCTGGCTTTCGTACTCAAGCAGCCAGTTCGAATGCTACTCATGTCTGCTTATTAGAGAAGACCAAGTAAGAATGGGTATTGTCCGATTTTGATATATGGGGAGCTGAGAACCACTTGGCCCGCACCAGGTGAGTATTCTTTGGCGAGCTTACTGAGGTGCGCACGGTATACAAGAGCCCAATACGTGTTTCTTACCTTGTACCAGTAGCAGGAATCACTTCGTTACTTCATGCTGAAGTGATGCGAAGAACTCGGCTGCGCTCCCATGTTCGAGGCCCAGCACGATGTCGATGGAGAAGGGGCGCCTCCTCTTTCAGTCGCAGCTCGGCGAAGTACTTGGAACCTACGCAGACCTTGACACTGCTAGTGCTCTCGTGTTCGATGCAGTGCGCTCACAGGACCATATGTGACTGCTTCCATGCACTGTCGTAGCGCGCTGCACAGATTTCCTCCTGGCGAGAAGTTAGACGACACTCGCTTGGACCTTGTGGCCGGGCTCTCAGCTTTGACTTGAGGTGTGCTGCCAGCTGAACAATGCATCTCACAAATTTGCCACGGTGACTTGTGCCAGGATGCTTCGTCTGGTGCTGAATCCTGGACAGTGCAGGCCACATTGGCACATTCCGAGGCACGAGAGGAGCTGTTGCAGTTGTAGGGGGTGCCAAGCCCAAGAAAGTAAAGCATGTGTGACCGTGACCTAAGATGCGCCTTCCAGGTCGCGAAGGCGCAACAGCGAGTTGATGGGTTCTTCGACGACGTGCGCGCGCGTTGCGAGCAGGGTCTCATCTCGTTCTATGTGCGCAGCAGCGGAAAAAGAATGGACAGGCGACCTTCTTGGGTGCTTTGTCATGTCTGAGCAAGGTCGAGCCACAGGTGTTTGACTGTTGAACTATAGTCATTTAATTCATGCCAACACCCGAAGTATGTCCGATTCTCGCCTTTCTTGCATCTCCTGACTGAGCCGATGCCTCATCTCAGCTATGGCTTGTAAGCAGAATACCGTTGCGATTACCTTTGCGATCCTTTGCGCATATCATGTCTTCACCTCCCCAACGACCTTTCTGCAGATGGTCGGGGAGCTTTGTGGTTTTAACTTCGGAGAAAAGTTAACTTGGCCAGGTCTTGGCACATCCATGCAATTCTGGCTACCATGGGCTCGGATGGAACCTCGGGTTTGTCCGCAGTTTCTGCATGTTGGTGCCTTGGCTGGACATTCCGGGCTACAGGCAACATTGTCCTCCACACCTTTGCCGGAAGAAAGATGCGGAATGTGGCAGAGCTGGCCAGGGCGGTGCGCCGGGGAATGTAGTGGATACAGAAGAACACAGCAAATCACAGCCCTGCCCTGCATGTCTGTGAGCCAACTTTGCTTGGATAGATGTGTCAGAATCGGTTGGTTCTAGTGCTTGGTATACAGGCCATTGCCGAATGAAGTCTAGTCAACCATGCCAAGAGTTTGCTTCCTTGCAGGTGGCTCACTGCGACCAGCAGCAACTCGTGCGAGTAGCTCAGTGCAGATCCCTATATGGCCCTGCAAGCAAGCAGACACAGATGTAAGGTTCAACTTTCTTCGTCCGCTTGGTGATGGGAAGGCGCGTGCGCGTGTAGTGTGTTCATTCAAGTCTTTAGACTTCCGAGCTGTCCATACTGCTGTTCGCTATAGCACTGAGCCCTAGCATTGCATCGCCGCGATGACGCGAAGATTGAAGTTCTCCTTGATGAGTTTGATTACTCGCTGCTCTCGATGAGAAACGGCTTCGGCTTAGGTCTGGGTGAAAATGTAGACAGGTGTTATGAGGCATAATGTTGCAAGAGCCATTGCGAGGAAGTGGTGGTCCTGGACCGATCAGATTGCCAAACTGCTGAGGCAGAGGCCGTCCTCGACATGCACGCATGCGTTCATGCACACGCACACACACACACACACAGACACGCAGCGCGCAACCGCTCACTCGCGCAAACTGCTCACGCACGCAACCGCTCACGCGCGCAACCAGAAAACTAGTGAAAAAACAGAGAGATGAAAGAACGAAACAAAAGAGTAATAGATTGCAGAAAGACATGAACGCATGAAATTAGAGAATTGCTCTCTTTCATGTAGTTTCATAAGAGCGAGCGCGTATTCTCTTCGTGCGTGTATTTCGTGTGTTCATTTCATCACGCACAAGTGTAGCCAATGTAGTTGTGTTGCCGACAGTCGTTTCCGCATGGTGCATGGGCGAACCCCTGAGATCCTGGCTCAACATCTCATCGGCTCGCCCACCATGGCTCTGGACTTATCCTCGCAGGTCTTATATTGTCTGCGATGAAACCAGGGCGCACCTGGATGAGGTGTTGTTGGGCTGTTTGGGGTTGTTTGGGGTTGTTTTGGGTTGTTTTGGGTTGTTTTGGGTTGTTTTGGGTTGTTTTGGGTTGTTTTGGGTTGTTTTGGGTTGTTTTGGGTTGTTTTGGGTTGTTTTGGGTTGTTTTGGGTTCGACTCAAAGAACTGCGAGAGAGTACTAAGTCTATACGAATTACCCGCTCGTGCGCCTCAGAGCACTTGATTTCCAGAGGTTCGAATCGATGGTCGAGGGGAGCCGCGGCTAGAGTCTCAGTTTGCAAAGCCTGAGCATTCGGCTGCCCATTGGCCAACAGTGGATTCATGTAACTCATACGAGCTCGAAACCAGCTCATGGATGTTTCGTGCATTTTGTAGAGCTAATGCCCATGGCTTGTTTTTTCAAATGATTGCAAGCCATGGTAAGCGCTTGCGTGCTCCGCCTCGGCAACCAGGCCGGCCTAAGCCACCGGACGCGCAAGTCGGCGACAAAAGCAGTGCACTTCTACACCGCACGGCGTGCGGTGGGTTCCGCAGATGCGGAAAGCGACCGCAGGTCGAGGAAAACGCCGGAGAACAGCCGACCCGCAAACGCGAAACTTTTGAACCCAGAGTAAGTGGAAGTGAGCTTCGGGGACGCAGAACTAACAGGATTGCTGTGGTGCAAGGCTTTCGGTGTACTCATTGTTTGTGCTGTAGAAGGCAGCAAAGAGGCAAAGAGAGGGTTCTCCCGCCCACCCGGGCAACAGGGGTGCACTGTTGCAAGTCAGCAGGTACTCGTAGCAAGAAGAGGGTCTTGTGAGAAACGGAAGGAAAAAGGCGCCAGAACGTCCCAGCAAAGTGTCAGGGGGGTTCCTAGGCGGGTGTCAGGGGCGTTTCAACTGAAGGAAGCCCGATCTTGGCCTGCCTGTTGCAGACACGGCCGCGGCGAATTTCAGTTCGTGCTTGCACACAATTGTGAAGTGAAGTGCTATAACGTTGGACACTTGGTTTGGTGAGATCTGAGTGTGTCTGCCAGCATGTCCGTGGAACCCCTTCTGTGGGCAGGCCTCTGGATCCCGAGGCCATGTCCAGCTGTTTGCCCAAAAACTTCTGCTTTCTGCTTTGCTGTATGGTAGGGCTTAATTATATGATATGGCATGTCAGAGGCTTGCATTGGGTTTGGAAGCCAGCAGATGCCAGGCTGTTCACATGGACGCGGCGACTTGATACTCGTGCGGCGAGAAAATGGCCGCCTCAAGAGTTTCCAGTTCCATGTCGACATGGGGTCGCAGATTTCCCGACTTCATTCTCACGAGCCTGCGGAGTGGTACAGACCCCCAGGCCTTGGTGGTCTTCGGCTGGGAGAGGTGCCCAGCATGTGCCCAACCACTTCGCTATAAAGCCGATTAAGCAGATTAAGCCCTTTTCCTATTTGTGGTCCAGGCTCCGTTGCATTTGCCTTTACAAGCGAAAAGGAGGGGGCTTAGCTGCTAGTATTTGGGCTGCCCTTTCCAAGAACTCCCCCACATGGACTTCAATTACCAAAGGAGGGCAAGTCAGGTCGTTGTGCCTTGACCATGGTGTTTGAAACTATTAAAGCAGGCATGGCTTCTTTCCAGGCACGGCCCACCCTGTTCCGGGAACCAACCACGCCGCCAGCACATCTTGCTGGTCAAGGAGAGCTTCAGGGAGGATGGTGCCGTCATTCCCTACTGCTGCTGGCCAGTTCCCTGCAAGCACAAGCCTTGTCAATGTCAGGATCGTGGGACCCTTCTTTGGGACCAGCAGCTCCTGCCCAAGCAATTCAGGGCAGTTCCTGGATTGAGGATGCCAGTAACCTCAAATGCTACTGGATGTGCATTTCGCCACGTCATTGACTTCAAGCGTTCCAGTCTCACCTCCAGAGCACCCAAGTACAGCAAAAGCCACTTGGACTCAGCGACTCCAGACTTGCTGGAGTATCAACATGCCAAGCAAAAGACTCCAAGACAGATCACATACTCTGAGAAGTCCGTGGGGCTGCAAAATGGCTTCAAGAGCTGCTGCTGCAGGAGGGGCAGGGGCAGCGCCAGAGCATAGAATGGCATAGATGTCATAACAGGTCATGCTTCTGAATATTCTAATTAAGAAGTTACTGCAATCAAATCGAAAGCACAGGGGATGCCGCGAAGGCGGAGGCGCAGCATCCGAGTGCGCAGGATCTTGAAGGCTTCAGGCTTCAGTCGCGAGGTTGAGATGCACATCATGTGAGGTAGGGTCTTTATACTAGCTCTGTGGGTGATTGATTGTGAGTGCATTTTGTGTGTGTGTGTGTGCGCTTGCGCGGTTGCGCGCTTGCGCGCTTGTGCGTCATGCAAAGTCCTTGCGCTGTGTAATGGGTTTGCTGGCTGGCATAACAGTGTAAGTAGCAATTGTCTGCCAGGGGCCAGTGCCCGACGAGGCACAATTTGGCCGAGTTTACATCCCCGGCCGCCGCATTCTTGGAACATCTTGAAGGAGAGGTGCCATGCTCTCCGCCTGAGCAAGGCTGGGACGTTGCCAACTTGTTCTTACCATCAATGGTGCAAGCCAAGGCCCGGGCCTAGGATTCAAAGTGCCGAAATCCGTGCTGCCATGCTGATGCCGCTGATGCCTTGCTTTCCTTGTGCTGCCATCACCTTCTGAGTTGTGAACCCCGGATCAAGTCCATCCCTTTTCTTCATCGGCAAGCTTGCTGTTTGACTGGCGGCAGCTAGCGCTAGCTGGCGCCTGCGACCGCGCGAGGACAACCCCAAAGCCACCGCCCACTTCAGACAGAGGCTATGTGCTCGAGACTACGACAGTGTCAAGCCACTTGGCAAACAACGAGAGCCTGGTCAGGATGCTCATGTGCTTGGCTTGGAACAGCTGAAGGATGATACTGCACGCCGGCTTTCCGTCTCGCCCTTAGGATACCCATCACAGCATTGGAGAGAGTCGAATCTGACGGCGCCACAGGACTGGAGTACCCCTGTCACCGCGGCAGCACCGTCCCATTCTCAGCCTGTGCTGTTCGCTGAACCATGCTGCAGCTCTTGCGCACCTTCATGGTTCTGAGGGGTGCTCTTTCTTTGATGCAGTTGTCAAACCCGAGTTCTCTGCTGCCTGCCATATGCGCTTGCCTAGGCACTGCGCTGTTCCTTGCAGCTGAGGCACTTCCACTTGTTTTCCACTTGTTTTTGCTTGAGATTTCTTTCTTGGCATACAGCTCGATCGTTTAGATTCGATGGTATCGTCTGTAGATGTCTGTACAGCTTCTGCTGTCAGCATGACAGGTTATTCAACACGGGACGGTCTTTGTTTTGGCCTCGCTTGCTCATATAACGATATGTTTACACAGAGACGGAGACATCACTTAACGCAGCAGCGTTGAGATGCAGATGGGCGATGTGCTTCTATGTCAGCTTCTTCTGAGCTTTCGGGCACATTGGCTGCATGTTGGAGAGCTGTGCGGGGCGTCACCGTTGCTTCTGGGATGTACCGTCTGGGGAATGGGGATCTGCATTGGCTTAGTCGCACAGAATTTTGCTCCTAGTGAAAGCTAGAGCCACTTGTCATTCGGCAGCTCGGGCACCTGCAGTGACTGCAGTGAGGCTGATCCATTCCAGCGTCTGCGACCGCAGCAAGATGGCATGATCAGTGCAATCAATATGGAGGAGCCGCCAGCCCATGCCAGCCTCATTACTTCTCCAATCAAAGGGGATTTGGAGATGGGCAACATGAGGCAATCACCAATGAATCATACATGTGCGTATAAAGTTGCAGTGCCTCAAGCGCGCCATCACGGAGGAGAAGGGGCACCTACGCCCGCACCCACTTGATGTTGCGATTCAGCCGGAGCCCAAGCGGCCCAAGAGATGGCATGTGCTGTTTTGATGGCTGGAGAGGCGAGATCACTTACCGATCGTCCACCTCTTCAACATGCATCGTTTCAGCCCACCGCCTCTGGACTTGGGCGTCACTACGCCCGTGAGGCTCATCACGCATCCCATTGAGTGCATCTTGCTTTGCCAAGAAGTGCAGATTCCACCGGGAGGCAAGAGTTTCCCTTGCGGCTCGAGCTTCAGGACAGGAGCTCCACCGGTGTCTGCTGTCTTGAAGATTTGCGCATGTCCGGCGTCAGGCAAACGAATCCGGGCTGATGGGTGTGCGTGAGCCCCTGGGCAATCCTAGGCTCAGGTGAGCATGTGGGAGCCAAAAAACTGCCAAAAGCGCTGGCAGGGCGAGCCGTGATGTGGAGCTCTGTAGCTGGCTTGTCTGCATGTGTTCAAGGGCGAAATGAGTGTTGGACCCTCTATAATGTGTCCCTCTCAATAAAAAGGATTTGGGCCGGCTTTGAAAGGTCTCTGAGATATTTGATAAGAAACGAAGAACCAGAACAGGCCCTCCCCCCCTCCCCCCCGCCGCCTTACAAGGGATTTGGGTCTTTCACCCCTTGAAGCCAAGCCAGGCCTTTGAAATCCAAACCCGCTGGGCTTGAGCGGCTAGAGATTTCAAGGGCACAGGCCTTTGAAATACAATCCCTTGCCTTAAGATCTAGTGCCAGCCCTTGAAAACAAGAGGCCACGTCTTATAAATCCAAAGCCCTGCGGACTCGGGATTTGAAGGGCTGGCCACAAGATTGCGAGTGGGGGGGGCCCTGTAAGCCAAAAGGAGCCTCCTATAAGGGCTTTTGGCCTTATGAATCCAAACCTTTGTTTTGCCTTCTAGCCAAGAGGCCAGCATCGAAATCTAGAGCTCCCCGGGCCCGGGCCAGGACAGAACAACGTGCCCATTGTACTCTTGGCAATTTCACATGGTTTTTGAGAAGGGAATTCGGCTCAGTTGGATTCCGGGATATTCCGGGTTTGCGGCTCTTGGAAAGGAGGCCTGGCTTTAAACCTCAAAGGCCCGGCCTTTTAAGCCAAGTTACAGTTTAAAGACAAGTCCAAAATCCTCGCACAACACGTCCGATCCCGGACTTGACTTCACAGAGGACCCCACTCTGGAGCCCAAGCACAGGATATTGAATAGCCCGGCAGACTTGACTTAAATCAGGGGGCCCCTACGGAAGATAGAATCCTAGATAAAACCGTGAATGGTTTAAGTCAAAACACAAACAGTTTTAAGTAACACACAAACAAGTTACAAAGGTCATGAAGATCCCAAGGCCCCAGACTGCCAGGGCGCAGGACGGGGAATGCCTGGGCGGAATTTTCAGACTTCGCGGGCGGGCTTGCCCCCCCTCTCTTCAACATCAGGTCAGAAAGATTACAGTTTCGTGGCAGCTGAGCGTTGGCAAGGGTATACAGGCGGCAGACAGGGTGCAACCTCTGCTTCTTCGCATTCGACCCCACTGGACTCAGCGAATTCTGCTTCAACGCTTGCCGGTCCGGGCATGACAAGCGTGTGACATGTGGTGTCCTTGTGCCGTGTCTCCATACGCACATGCGTCAGGCATGAAAAAATTTGAGATATTGCCAGCTGATTGCGAAAACCAAGAGAGATGCTGCAAGGCTTGCTTGTCAAAGTTGAGAGTATGCGTGCGGGCGTTAGACTAATGATGACGGTACTGTTTCTTGCTTGCAGAGGCCAGCTGCTCTATCTAACGGGCAGGCAACCTTGAAAAGGTCGTGCCACAGCCCAGTGTTTCCGCTTCGGGAAGGCTTCGAAAGAAAGGCTGCAAGCATGTGCAATGATCAGATTGGAGGACTTTTCACCTAAGTGTTGATGCTCAAGCAAAAGCTGTTCGTCCTAGACCTTGACTCAGGCAGTGCAAAGAGCCGTTCGAAGTTTAGGGGCACGTCAAAGGCAGACTGCTAGCCACTGGGCCAACTTCAACGTCTGGCCACCCTCTGCACATTATGCAGACTTCAAACTCAGACTGCAAAACGGTAGCGCCCCGCCATTTTCCTTTGCGAAGTCCCCAACGAGACAATATGACCGCGTAGCGTGATGTCCTGCCGAGGTTTGGCAGGCGACCCGGCCTCTCTCTGACCTGATCTGAGATGCAAGAGCACCGAGATGCACCGAGTCATGAAGTGTCACTTTGCAAATGCCATATATGCACAAGATATGCAGTCTAGTGGCCGAGCCATGCGGCAAAAACAATCTGCGGTCGGTTTCCTTTACTGTTTTGTTCGCCCTCCCAGATCTGCTTCTAAGTTGCCACCCAAATCCTTTTGCCATTCCGTCGGCCTGTGATGGATGGCCATGTATTTGCTCCATCTTGCTTCTCAGCATTCCGGTAGCTGTTGCCTCATGTTATTGTTCATGCAGCCCTAGACATAGCCCTCAGGATGCGCGAGAGCGCTAAGTCAAAGATTTTACTTACTCACTGCGTGAAGTGTGCGTGAAGATTACACAGGGAAGGTGCTTGCTATCATCGTTGCTGAGCCTGGCTTTAGCTATGGATGCCGAAATTCAGAACGCTGCTGAGGACGTCACTCCTTCAGACGTTGTATAGGGAGAATGAAGAATCCTTATAAAGAGGTCGATGCAGGCTTGAGACTGTGAAAGGTGCCTGTTAGCAATCTTGGCAATCTTTGGAGAGGTGCTTTAGAGCGTGTCTTGGCCCAGCTTTTGCCTTCTTCTTGCTTTGGACCGTGGAAGGACATGGATGCCTGCGCCACCACGCCGCACTCGCCGTCAGGCCTTGCGAGCAATACGAGCAGCATGTAAGCTATTGTAAGCTTATAATTCATACTCCGGTGTTGTATGTGTTGTCGGCCACACCCATGTGATGGCCTTGCTTTGATGAATGTGGCTTTTCAGGTGATCGCATTGGCCGTCTGCTGGAGCAGATGCGGACCTGCGTCTTGGCCACCGGGCTCAGAACGGCAAAAACAATGACAAGGGCTAACCGACTCACGGCTGCCACGCAGCTGCGCCAGGTGCATCATCAACTGAGCTGCTTGCTGATCCACGCAAGCGCTCTGGATGCAGGCGAAGCGTCAGCTGTGTGTGAGTGAGCCACAGAGGTAATGTGTGAACATACCATTCTCTTGTACTTCTGCTGGTTCTACTGTGCACCATCTGCTACGGCGAGCAGGAGGGCAGTTCTGAAGAACTCGCACGGTGAGAACACAGCACGTGCATTCAGCTTCAGACTTGGCCGATCTCTTTCTGAGAAACTGGCAGAGCAAGAGAATCAAGAGATCAACAGCGCAGACTCCGATTACGAAGCGAGTCACGTTCATCTGCTGCGCCTTTTGGGTGGTGTGCAGAGAGGGAAGGGTCAGACTTGCTACCTCTCGTTTCTTGGGGTCATTTGGGTTCTTGTTCTCAGCAGTTGTCAGCGGTTGCCACGTGTCGTACCCTTGGTCGTACACTTGCAGGTGTCTATGGTGAGGCCGGCTTCGATGAGAGCACTGAGGAGGCCAAGTCGGACTCGTGCACAGAAACAGTGGGATGAGACTTGGAAGAAGAGAAGACTTTGCTGATGTGAACTTGCGCCAGGGCAACGATGCACTACGCCGATCCATCCAAAGCCTTGGGGGCTCCACTGTTTCCTGGCAACAGCTGGGGCATCTTGGGGCCATACAAAGGCGTCAGGAAATCACCCTACGTTTTGAATCGCGTTTGTCGTGTAGTCCGCAGCAACGAGTTCTGACATCTGTCCGTTGGACACCAAGGCTCGCTTGTTCTGTATGGCATTGAGGGATCAGAAAGACTCTCGTCTTGGATTATTGAGGTGCGCTCAATAGAATGGTATCCTGAGCGCGTGTCGCTATCTTTTCAACAGCCTTTCAAGGATTTGCGATCCATGAGCCACACCTTGCAAAGCCGCGTGGAGTCGATGGTGGAAGGCACCGCGGAGAGGGCTTTACACTCCTGGTCTAGTCTAGGAGGGCAAAAAAAACGCTCCCACATACCGGCTTCTTACTCCTACAGCAGCTTCATCCCGTTCCAGCTATGAATCAAGAGTACACATGTTCGTGCTGTGTGATGCTGTGTGTCTTACGCATACCGCATTAAATAGACGCAGAACGGAGGCCTTCAATCGGAGCTTGGCTTGATGGGGGACGCCGCAGCGTTGCCCAGACTTTCACTGGGGTTTAGAAGCCGACACCTTTCCTTTGCAGCCTAAAGGCGCCATATGGCGCCATCCTCTGAGTTTTCTCCGTGACAATTTCCCAAGGACTGCACGGCGCTGACCGCCGAAGTGACAGACTTGGAGGCATCGGGGGTGACGGTGAGTACGTGGATGGGGGAGTGGGATGAGGGTGGAGCTCATGAAGCCGCTCTGGTGGTAAGGCGGCATTGGCCAGGAAACGAGAGGAGGCTGCAAGCTCATCGGACTTGGAAGCGTCTGAGGAATTTGCGACACCATGACACCACCAGCAGATATTGCCCAGGTGCAAGAACTTCGCCGTTTGACCGACGATCGTCGCACGCTGGCAGAAGAGAAACACCGTACCATTGCCGTGCTGCCCAGTCAGCCAGTGGTAGGACTTGGATATGCTGGGACAGGATGCTCGGAGGGATCGGTGCATGGTGCGTTGTCATCTGCTCCGAGGTCATGCAGCAAGCGGAGAGGCCAGAACTTATGATGAGCAGGGAGTGCACATGTACGTCGAGGGCTTCCCCTTCGAAATACTTCGAACTTTACACGTTGAACCGAAAAACGAAGGGATTGTATGACTCTTTCCCTGGCTGCACGGTAGTTTCGTGGAGTGGTCTTCGAGCTTGTTCTATGTTTCGTGGCCAGGGTGAAGGCAGCCGAGCGCCGGCTGCAGGCTATCACGAAACTTTGGAGAAGCGTCATCCTATCAA